GGTCCTTGTGAGCTTGGCCCGGCTCTGTTTGTACCCTCTTTGCCCTTGGTCCGCCACCTCTATGTCCCCCTGCCCCCACCACCTCCACTTGTTTCCTTCTCTCTTGTGGTGGGTTTTGACCACTTCCTCTAGAGAGGCGTCAGTGATGGTCTCACAGTGGGTGCTCACCGTGGAGCTGGCTGTGTCTCATCTCCACCGTAGTCCCTGCCTCCTCTACAAGCCCCACCCCATTTCTGTCTTGAGTACACCAGACCCACTTTCTTTGTCATTCTCTCCTCCCACCCTCACCCCTCCTCACCTCTCTCCTCTGCCCCGGCCTCTCTTTCTCTCTTCATATAACATAGGTCCCCAAACTTACTTGCTCTGCTGCTCCTTTTTCAGAAAACAAAAGCCAACAAACCAACCCAAGCGTTCCCCTGGTAATTCAAACCTTTTGTGCTATAGCCCACAATCCAGGGTAAAGGGCAAGCACCTGGTTTTGCAGCCCCCCAGGGGGCAGTGTTACCCACTTTGGGAAACATTATCTAGCGCTATGGACTGGGAGAGGCCAAGTCAGGGAAACCGGTGGATACGATGGGCCAGCCCTTCTGGTTAAGCTCTTGTCTCTGGCTCCTGATTCAGCTCCTCCGTTTTCCTAGGACTTCCCCTTCTTCTGGCCTTGGGTCTTCCCCTCAGTGTTTACCCACCCGTCTCCACTTCTGCCCTCCATCTCCTCTCCCTGTCACCGCTGAGAAGGCACAGCCGTGACTTATCATGGGTATGTCTGAGTGTAGTGTATGTGCCTTTGTTTGCCTGAGTGTGTGTGTGTGTGTGTGTGTGTGAGAGAGAGAGAGAGAGCTTGCAAGCTAAAGGATGGGCCCAGAGATTATCTGTTGAACTAGAAGCTGGGAGGAGGTGGCGAAGGCAGGTCACACCTGCAAATTAAATAATTGGATGGGAAGCCGCTCCTGGGACTCTCTGGCTGTTCCTTCTTTTTGGAGTGGTCACCTCATAGGCCAGGCCTGCTCTACTCTTCTCTCTGGGACTCATGGGTCTAGAACAGTGGTTCTCAACCTTCCTAATGCCGCGACCCTTGAATACAGTTCCTCATGTTGTGGTGACACCCCCCCCCAACCATAAAATTATTTCCATTGCTACTTCATAACTGTCATTGTGCTACTGTTATGAATTGGGCGAGCCCTGTGAAAGGGTCATTCGATCCCCAAAGGGGTCGCGACCCACAGGTTGAGAACCGCTGGTCTAGAAGGTAGCATAATGTAGAGAGATGAGGCTTCCTGCCTGGTCCTCTCCCACCTTCAGCTTGCTCTGGGCAGCAGGGTGGGGATGGAGCCCCCTGGGTGCGTGTGAGATGGCAAGGAGTGGCACTGCTTCTTGGAAGCCTCCTTCCTCCGGTGTGGATTCCCCATCAAGCCCAAGTGGCTCCTCTTGGTGGAGCCTGGAGAAAGCATGGTGTTCCCAAGGCTGGAGTACTCAGCCCTGCCAAGAGCCTCCGTGATGGTGGGGATGAAACCGGCCATGAGTCGGTGTGGGGAGCGGTCTCTGGTATGGCCGACCAGACACGATCCCTTTTTCCACTGGCCTCTCAAGGTGACGTTCTTGCCTCCGTCTGCCTTGGCAGGTCCTGCAGAAGCTGGGCAAGGCGGATGAGACGAAGGATGAGCAGTTTGAACAGTGTGTCCAGAACTTTAACAAGCAGCTGGTGAGTATGGGCAGCCTCGGGCCGTCAGGGCTTTGAGAAAATAGATGCGTGGCCGCTCGGTGGGTGATGAAGCAGCCAGCTTTGTGGAGCCAGGAGACTTGAGGAGACAGGGGGTCAGGTCAAGCCAGCAAGGTCATAGGAAAATTCCTGGAGAAGAGGGAAGTGGCATGAAAAGGAGAGATGGTGGGGTACCTGAGCGAACATGGGAAAAGTGGTCGGGGAGGGTGGCAGTGGGGAGGAGCAGGTGAGAGGTTGTGGCCCGCCACTGGAAAGCTTGGTATCAAGGCAAAGGGGGTCTGTCGAAGCTTCTGGTGAGGAGAGTGGCCTCTCTGAGGTGGGCAGTGTGGGTTCAGTTTGAGCACCCCTTCAGCATGTCTGTGTCTGACGATGAGGAGGCTCAAGGCGGTGCCGTTTATAGATGTTCTCTGGACACCCATGTGAAGCAGACAGTATTGTCATCAGTTCATAGAAGAAGTAGTGGAGACTTAGAGAAGTTGAGTAATTTCCTCAGCACCATCTCGCCTAGAAAGTGGATTCAATCTCATCCTTCCGGGTTCTGGAAGGGATTTTAATCAGGGTACTGTGACCAAGGCGAGGGGCCCAGGACAGGAGAGACTTCCTTATGGTGGCAGCCTGGGGCCATGGTTAGCGACAAGGCAGGATTTCCAAATCAGAAGACTCTGAATGTACTGCCTGGGCTGCCTCTGAAACTTTTCTCCACCGAGATCCGCTAAGTCCCGAATAAGCCACTTGTGTGGTGGAGTCTGAACCCAGAGAAAGTGGGGTGAGATGGCCTTGGAATTCTTTCTCCCTGGAAAGGCCAAGGTTTCAGGAACCGAGGGGTGGCTGGTCCTCTGGGTTGGGGGCTTCTGGAGGCTGCCCCAGTTAGGGAATGATGGGGAGCTAGGCCAGAGGAGGGTGTGAGCAGGGACAGGGAGTGAGTCCGTTTCTAAGCTCTGTTTGGCAATGGCAGTGGTGCCTCAGGCTGGGGGCTGGGTGAGGCCCGGACTTCTCTGTACTCTGTGTCCATATCGGAGGCCTCGGAGAGCATTCAAGATGTCCGCGTTGGTGCTCGATTGAAACTTGGGGGCAGAGTCTCCTCTGGTAAACCCTGAGAGCCCGCATGCCAGAGGTTGGGATGCATTCATGGAAGGGGCTAGGGACATGCTAGGAAAAGTCACGGGGAGGATGCAACAGGGCGGTGTTAGTCCTGGGAGGGTTGTGCCCTCTGCCCTCTTCCATGCCAGAGCTGGGAGAGCTGGCCAGTGTGGGCAGTGGCCCCGGAATCTTAGCCTGTCCCCAACCAATTCTGCAAGGAACCTCCAGAGCTGTTTCTCAGATGCCAAAATCCTGTTTGGGGAGCCAGGGACCAGTTTGGAAGCCAACACATAACATCTGGAAGCAGCTGCCGGGGAGGGTGGGGTGTGCGGGGTGTGGGAGGTCCTGGTGGGAAGGAAGGCTGACAAGAATTGTGGCCCAGGGAGCCGAGGCTCTGGACTGGCCCTGCACATCTGGCAGGCCTGCCTGCTCACAGGACAGCCTTGTCTGAGGCACAAGGGACCCTGGTACGGCTTGGGCCCGAGGGAACCCAGCCACCCCCACCCTCCCCCAACCACCACGGGATTCCTCTTTGGGACACAGCACTGGCAGGATCTGGATGGGGGTGAGGAGAGAGAGGATGTAGAGAAGACTTGTGTGGTGGATACTAGGCAGGGAGGGAAGCTGAGCGTGTCGGCAGGTGCCCTGAGATGAATACAGTAACATTTTGTCAGGAATCTGCATCTCAACTAGCAACACACTTACTGATCCTACCTTGTGGGCAGCCAGGTCTCCAGCGGGACATATGTCCTCACCCCCCATTCTCGCAGGTTCCCCATCAGCTCCCCTGAGGGAGCTTCTGAGAGGCGCGAATGCTTGTGGTTTGCACTTCCCTTCTCTGATCCTGTCGCTTAGGAACAGCCTGATTGTGACAATATGTGCAGCAGCGGGGCACGCACAGGTCCGTGAGATGGAGTGCATTTGTGAAGTTTGGCCACCCCGCTCACTAACCTCTTCCAAGTCATTCTGCAACCATTCACCTGCCCTCAGACCCTCTCATGCCCTTACCCCGACTCTTCGTTAACCACGAATCACCTTGGATCTCTGTGTATTTGCTTATTTCATGTAAGTGAGACTGTGCCGTCTTTGTCCTCTTGTGGCTGACTGATTGGTCTCGACCTGCCTGGTCCAGTTCTCTCCCGGTTCTGCCATGCACCAGACTTCCTTTCTCGCCCCTTTTGCCCTGGAAAAGCCACTGCAGATGAGACAGGTGCTGACGAGAAACCAGCTGGTGGCTCTGAGCCACCAGCTCAAGGTTCTGTTTAAGCCCCAGACTGTCAATGGTGACAAAGAAAAGATCTTCATTTGGGGGGCGGTGGCTGGGGAAGACTTCCTTTCTCTTGATGGCTGAGTAGATCCCACTGTAGCCCCTATGCTCCACACCGTGTTTATCCACCCATCTTCGATGGATGTTTAGTCGCATCCTACCTTCTGGCCCTTGTGAAAAGTGCCGCAGTGAACAGAGGTGTCCCGGCTCCCGTTTGCCTTCTTGCCTCCACTTCTGGATAAATCCCTCGGCCTGGGATTTCTGCATTTTGGTAGTTCTTTGTTCCACCTTTTGAAAAACAAAAACAAACCGCCAGCCAGCTCTTCTTCATAGTGGCTGTACCAATTTACATTCCCACCAGCAGTGGACGAGACGTCCCATTTCTCCACATCCTCTCCAACATCGTTTCCAATTTTTTTATGATTGCCATTCTACCGGAAATGAAGTGGTATCTGCTAGATGTGCGGATAAACAGACTCAGGCTTCGATGTTCATAAGGATGATGTGTGTCCAGGGCCAGGTACTTTACTCTGGGAAATTTAAGGGATTTCTCTTAGAATATTTTAGTCTCCATACCCCACTTTTTTAAAAAAACTTTTTTATGACACAGTATCTTATGTGTTGACCTTAACTCCTCTTGACACCACCTCTCCAATGCCATGTGGAAGCACCCAGTATGGTCACTAGGCAGGGACCATCTTTTTGTGGGGCAGCAGTGATTGACTGATCCCAGGAGGCCAGCTTCCTGGGCAAGGGTGGTGCTTGTCTCTGCTCCTCTGCCCTTTCTGGGAGCACAGTTAGGCTCACGTTGGAGGACAGAGGGGAGAGCTGTGTCTTTTAGGCACCAGGGCCAGATCTGACCAGGCACTTTCTGAGCGCTCATCTTTCTAGTCTCCCAAAGACCTTGTGGATGCCAACCTCCAGAATTGAGGATGCCAACCTCCAGAATTGTTAGCAGAGCAGCCTGAGCTTGTCCCCTGCGGCGGGGGGTGGTGGGGTGGTGGTGGTGGCTAGGGGGGCGGAGCAGCCAGAAGGACAGGACCTGGGGCGGGGTGAGCCACTCAGCCTGACCATGTCCTCCTCCTTCCTGCTGTAGACTGAGGGTACCCGGCTGCAGAAGGACCTCCGTACTTACCTGGCCTCGGTCAAAGGTAAGGGTCAGACAGGGTTCTGGAACAGAGCTGATGGGCCCTGCCCAACTCAGAGCTGGAGGGCACAGGGCTGGAAGGAGGCATCAGGGCCAGGTCTGTGCAAGGTAGACAAGGGGGTGCACTGCATCCCCCCTCCCCGAGCCTCCTGGTGTGGGGTGATGGAGGAAGGGCGGCTCCCTGCGTCAGCACCCCCAGCCCTGGCTGCAGCCATCTCTCTCTGCTCCCAGCCATGCACGAGGCTTCCAAGAAGCTGAACGAGTGTCTGCAGGAGGTGTACGAGCCTGAGTGGCCTGGCAGGGACGAGGCGAGCAAGATCGCGGAGGTGCGTGGACAGCGGCGCAGAGCCTCCTCACAGAGCTCTCTCTAGGCCCTGCTCTCCCTCCCCCGCCCATGGCATTCGACTTGGCTGTTGTGAGCATTAATCCAAGGGCTGGGATGTCTCTCATCTATGTGTTGGGGCTCATGACGTGCAAAATCCCCCCCACTCCCACCCCAGATCATAGCTACCCATGGGAGTTGCTATACCACTTTACGGGAATGGTGAGGAATCAGTGGCTCTGGGAAGCCACCCTGTTGCAAACTAAGGGGCAGGGGCTGACGATGCCCAAGTCTCCACTCTTGGTTCCCAGCCCCTGGGGATGACGGTACTCCAGGGGCCACACTCACTGCTCCTGGCTCTTTCAGAACAATGACCTCCTCTGGTTGGATTACCACCAGAAGCTGGTGGACCAGGCGCTCCTGACCATGGACACTTACCTGGGCCAGTTCCCTGACATCAAGGTGAGAGAGGCCTTTCTTGGTGGCCGTTCGGCTTCCGCCTTACAGCTGGTATGAAGAAAGGTGGAGAGGGAGAGAAAGACTGAGGGACGCCGTCGGCCCAAGGGTGGCCCAGGGACTAAGGTACCCCGAAGGCAGGTTCCTCTGCTTGACTGGCATTTCATTCTTCCTAGAGGGCATTCCTTAGGAGGCCAGCCCTGCTGGCGATCCCAGCCTTCCTGCACTGGGAGCTTCGGGTCCTTTCTCCTTGGGTATCAGGCCTGTGGGAGGAGACTCTACGGTGTGTGTGTTTGGTGTGCACACATGGTGTGTGTGGGAGGTTGGGTTTATAATGTGTGTGGTGTGTATTATGTATGTTTATGGTGTGGGTATGTGTCTGTGTGTTGTGGGATGGCTGTAACCAGATGTGTCAGGTCTGAGGACTTGCTGTGCTGCGTGTGCTAAAGGAGTACCCGAGGATGGCACATGTCACTTCTTACCTGCTGACGCCTCTCTGTGGTGTACTTGTGTGGGTTGTGTGTTCAGGGAGCCAGCTGGTTGACCTTGCTCAGCTGGAGGCCCAGATACTTATAGAAGTTGTCAATGTACCAGGCCGCCGGCTGGTGAGTAGGATCACAGAGGCTACATCCCAGGGCAGAGAGGTCTGAGCTTGGTCTGTGGATGGGTCATCTCAACAAAGCCTCATATCCTAACCATGAAGATGCCCAGTAGAGATACTGAGATGCCCGAGGGGACAGGGAAGAGAGTGTGGGTGCAACGGGGTCTTTGAGGCCCTGAGGGCAGGTGGGAAGAGCCTCGTTTCACTCACTGACAAATGGGTTGGTGTCCCATGGAAACAGTTTGCCTTCTTGGAGTGATATCCTAAACACTCCAAGAGTTCAGGCAACAGGGTCACGTGCATGCTCAGACTAACCGATAGCGCCCTCAGCATGACTCAGTTGCTCTGGGTCCAGCCTGGGGGCAGGATGTGTTCAGCCTCCTACCCTGTGTGTACCCTCAGTCACGCATTGCTAAGCGAGGGCGGAAGCTGGTGGACTATGACAGCGCCCGGCACCACTATGAGTCCCTTCAGACCGCCAAAAAGAAGGATGAAGCCAAAATTGCCAAGGTAAGCTGGGGAGTTGGACTGCCTGGGTACAGCAGAGTTCGGGGAGCCAGGGCTGAGGGCGGATGGTCCAACTTACCTCTCTGGCCCGCTGAGCATTTGCACATTAGATCTCCTGGTTCCTGGACCGTGGGCCTGTGGGAATGATCAGCCCCGTTGACAGAGATGGGGCTACTGGCCCAAGGCCCATAGCCTGGGAGGGGAAGTGCCCATGTGAATACGGGTGCTGGATGGTGCTGGGACCCAGGGTGGGGGAGCAAGAGGGCCCACCCGTGGCATTGCTCTGTCCTTTGGCCTTCCTGTTCCTCTGCGCACTCCCGGCCACTTTCCAGAATGAGCTCAGGCCTGGCTTGGGTTTGGATAGAATGGTACCCATTCCACCGGTGCAATCTTGTCATGGGTCTCTGATGTGACTCCACCCCACATGGCTCTGGGGCAGAACCAGCCTTGATGAGCCCTGTGGCCCTGCTAATGATTCTCACAGTTTGCCTTTGTAGGTTGGAGTTTACCATGGCCCCTCCAGCCCCCCACTCCCACCCCCAGTAGTTTCCCTGTTAATTCTCTGAGCCTCCTGGGCCACCTTACAGGAGGTGTTTTGCTTATCTATCACTGCATTGGGATATTTGGATTTCATGTTTAATATCAATGTCTCTGTTTCTTTCTCCCCATCTCCCTCCTGTCTCTCTACCCTCCTTTGCCTTGATCTCCCCACCACCTGCTCTCAGCCTGTCTCGCTGCTTGAGAAAGCTGCCCCCCAGTGGTGCCAAGGCAAACTACAGGCTCATCTCGTAGCTCAAACTAACCTGCTCCGAAATCAGGTGACGCTGGCTTCTAATCTTGCATGTGCTGACACCGTTTGGTCTGTGCCCTGCCCTCTGTGTGTCCAAATACTTGTGTTTCCTTTCTTGACCTAGAGATAGATTCAGCCCCTTCCTTTGGATGGGTGGTTGGGCTAGATCTGAACCTGTGTCCGAGCAGTTACAGCAGCCTCCTTCCTGAAGGCAAAGGTGTAAAAGAGATAGACGCTGAGGGGCTCTGGCTGACTTGGGCATGGGCCCGGGGTCTGTCTGCTCGGCACTGTGTTGGTGGAAGTTCTGGGATTCCTCTATGAGATACCAGTCTCCCAGAAACACAGGATAGCTTTGAGTCATCTCTCCCCCATCTCAGGAGGGCCCCTGAGGGCCGAGGTGGGATAGTATAAGTCTCTTGCCCTGATAAGTATTGTCCTTTAGCCGCGTAAGAACTCCTGAATTCCCACACGAGGAGACACACGGCCGGGGTGGGCCAAGTCTCTTGCCCAGTTTCACAGAGCTGGTTAGTAGCAGGGCTTGGGGTCATGTTAGATGAGCGCCACCCCCCCGCCCCATTACTATCCTAGCCCCTGGCCCCTGCCACAGTCAGCCAGACTCTCAATGACCCTGGAATCTACTGGCAGTGGTGGTGGAGAAGGAGGAATTGTCAGAATGACCTTCAGTCTGCTGGGAGGATGAGCCACGGGGAGAACTATTTGGGGCTTCTTAGAAGGCAAGGGCTCTGTGCTGCAGTAGTCGGGGCTGCTTTCTGGAGACGTTTCTTTGTCAATAACTCCAGGTGGTCCTACCTCCCTGGCTGCCATTCCGAACGCTTCTGAGGCTCTGCCCTTGAAACAAGCCAGGTTCTGGATATGCATGTTGTGGAATATGCTTTCCTCCCCCCGGAGGTCCTAACTCAGGTTTCAGAGGAGCAGAGACACAGTGGACTGACTTCCTATTCTACGTGGGAGTTGAGGGGGGGTGGTGGTGTCCAGAGTCGGCAGGTTGGCTTTTTCTGAGCAGCGGCCCCTCTTTAATGGGCTGCCTCTCAGTGGCATCGTCTACCCTGCACAGACTGAGTAGCGCGAGCTCTGGGCTGGGTACGGACTTGAAGCTCAACCTCTTCCCTCGCTTGCCGCTGATTTCTTCTAGGCCACCGCTCCGAGCTGCCCTGGGAGGCACTGAGCTGTTGACAGCTTCACCCTGACCGCAGGGGGGCTCGGGGGCTCGGGCTCTTGGGGAGTTGGTTTGGGGTCGAGGGGGGCGGTGAGCTTTGATAGGCCTCATTCCTCCTCTGTCCGAAGGTGTAGGAAGAATGAGGGGCTGGAGACTGGAATGGGTGTTGCCTGGCTCCAGAGACTAGACTGTTCTCTGGAGAAGGGGGAGAGCTCCCAAACCAAATGAGAGGTTTAGCATCATTTTGCCGTAAAGGGTTGAACAAGGCGCCAGAAGGCATTGTCGGGCGGGTAGAGGGTCGATCTGCTGTGGTAGGCTCCCTGGGCTGAGGGTGGTTGGGTACCGTGAAGGAGAGGGCTTGGAGCGGCGGCAGCAGCTCACATGGGCAGTGCCACCATGGATGCTGGGTTGCAGATGGTGTGCTAACTTGGTTTTCTCAACGGGATCCACTTTCTCTTTGAGCAGCTCCTCCATAGGCCTCTGCCTCTTCCACACACCCGTCTGGAAGCTAGAAGGCCGCGGGGCTAACCCCGGACTGCATCCATCCGGAAACTGGGTCTGCCCGAGCTTGGGGTGACCGAGAGGTGTGATTGGGTTTTCGGGAGACAGTGCGTCTTCTTGAGGGGATGCTCCCATCTCCGGGGGTCTGCTTGCTCAGCTCCTGTGGCCTTTCTGGTAGGAGGAACAAGCTGGTTTCGGGTTTGCTTACCCTGCCCCTCCAAGTGCAGCACAGCCACTGTTTTGCCAAGGCCTCCCAGGTGGCAGACAGCTCTCCCCTCACTCTGTCCACCCCCTTGCCACGCGCCTAAGTGCTTCTGGAAAGAGCTGCGCTGTGAGGAACCAGAGACGTGGGCCCTGGCTTCCGGCAGCTCTGAAGTGGAGCTGGAGCTCACGCCCGACCTTGGGGCCTGCCGAGCTGCTTGCCCCTGGAGCTACAATGGCCCATTTTGCTCGCCATTCTCAGGCTCATTGGTTCAAGGAATTAGGACAGTGTTTGTGAGAAAGATGGAGGCCCCACGCTGGGCGGTCTCAGCTCTTCCAGGGGCTGGTGGGGCAGGCAGGTCCCTGAAAGAGGTGGCGTTTCCCCGAGGCTGAGCAATCAAGGCAAGGTGGCCTGCAGGGCAGGGAGACAGTCCAGTGCAGCCCGTGAGGGCCATGTGTTGTGTCCATCCCACCAAGCCCCATTAGCAGCCAGCCCTCTTTGTCAGGCCCTGGGGTCCCCAGAGAGCTAGGGAATGGGTGGTCTGGTCTGGTCAGGTGAGGCCACGGGGACAGGCTGAGGAGTCAATATTCCCAGCACAGGGTAAGGTTCCTCCAGGGCCCTCAGCTCTTATCCTTCCCAAGAGGTCAAGGCACGCTTGTTCAGACAGATCTCTTTGTCCTTGAGAAAAATGTAACACCAAGGGGTCCCTGCTCTTTCCAGCAAGTTTGCCCCACTGGTTACTCTAGCTGAGCAATGCATCCTTTCCTCCTGCCTCGGCCCAGGCTTGGGGCGCTGGTGCCGGAAGGAGCATGGGGTGGGTAGGCTGGAGGAATCAAGTGCTGATGGCAAATAGGCTTTGGGGCCAGCTGGCTGCCGTTGTCCAAAGGCAGGCCTGTCCTGGCCTGAGAAGATGAAGCTGAGGCTGCTGGCAGGAAGCTTGCTTCCTACGGGGCAGGCACAGCACGTTCCTGGGCTGTAACTCAACCCCCAGGGCCAGGTCACCTCCCTGAGTCACCGTTTCTCCTTCTGCAAGGGTGAGCGCACAGCGCCCCTTCCCTGGCCCCGGTCTGTGCTCAGTCCCGAGTGGGGCACCTGCTGCCCACATGCTCCTGCTTACTGGCTCTGGGATGATGGTTTGGGCCCGGGGCCTGGCTGGATGAGCGTAGGAGGGGAGGACGTAGGCTGGAACCTGCGGAGGGCTCGTCTCACGCCAGCAGAGGCATTGCGAGTGGTCCTAGCAGCCTCCCCAGCAGCCCAGGCCCCAAGCCCAGCCCTGTGCCCCCACCTCTCGGCTGCCTTTCGAGATGGACCCAAGTCGCTGCCTCTGACGCCAGTCTAGAAGCTAACAGGGTCCCAGAGAGAGGGGCCCTGGCAGGGGTAGAGTCTGGGAAGAGCTGTGTGGCTCCTAGGAAAGAGATGTTGGCTAAGAAACGGGGAGGAAATCTCGAGAGGGGGCCACGGAGAACAGTGGCCCAGAATGCTGTGCTGCCTGAGGGAGGGCTGAGAGTAAGTGGCAGGTAGCCGCACACCCGGATCTGGGGCCTGTCTGGGCTTCCTCCTTGTTCCCCAGCCTCCTGGGCCTTTGTCTAGCTAGTGCCGTCTCCCTCCTAACCCACCTGGGCTTCCCTTGTGGAGAGCACACTCCAGGGGATTGACCACAGGGGTCCTGGGTGTTCATGTGCATACAGCCTGTGTATGCCCTCCAGAGCCCTGGTCCCAGAAGACTGCACTGAGGTAGAGGTGCAGTCCTCGGGGGCAGACTGGGCTGGCCTGCGTCGAGCAGAGGCCTTGCAGAAGGGAATGACCCTCCCTGACCCGCAGGCCGAGGAGGAGCTCATCAAAGCCCAGAAGGTGTTCGAGGAGATGAACGTGGACCTGCAAGAGGAGCTGCCATCCCTGTGGAATAGGTGAGGGCTGGAGGGGAGCTCCAGGCCGCCCTCACAGCCGGGTAAGGGTGTGCCTGCTGGTTTGTCTGGGCACCCACAGGGCCCTCAGTGTCTGAGTGTCCCAGCTGTGTCTGGGGGTAAGGGAGGGTGTGTGAGGCTCTCTGAGGGGACCGTGTGACTCTCACGGATGGGCCTGCTTGGCCTGGGTATTCTCCTTACCCCTCGCCCTTCTCTCCTCTGCAGCCGCGTGGGTTTCTACGTCAACACGTTTCAGAGCATTGCGGGCCTGGAGGAGAACTTCCACAAGGAGATGACTAAGGTAGGCCTTGGCAGTGGCCCCCGTGGGCCTCTGGGCCTCCAACTCCTGTCCACTCTGACCCAGGGTCTAAGGTCAGAAGCATGGGTGGGCAGGCCGTGTCCAACTCGGCCCTCTGCCCTTCCTAGTCATCTCTGCAGGCGGATTGTGTTCTCAGGGACCTTGAGCCAAGGAGCGCAGAGCCAGAAAGCCGTGACAGCTTCCCAGCTTCTTCTAAGCAAACTCGTAGGGTTTTCTCCATTTTCACTTGTCCTCCCAAGTTCCCTGGGAGTTTGGCCCAGGCCTGTTCCATCTGCCCTGGAACCTGCTGTATGAAGGGTTCTGACTAGCTGAAATTCCTACGCTGCTCAATTTTCACAGTCACTTGCCCGTCAGTTAAATGAGGAAGTTCTCTCGGACTGCTGGCAGTTCCCTCTTGTCTGCAGAAGCAGGGTCTGAAGCCAGAAGAACGGAGTGGGTGGTGATGTTTGGGCAAGGGTGGGAGGGGGCAAAGCCGATCCGAGGGCTCTCCGGTCTTGCCACCCTGAGCACAGTTCCCCGCCTCGTAAGCCTTCCCTTGCTCCCCTCCTTCTTCCCTTCCAAGATTCCAGACAACTAATGACAGGTTGAGGAAAGAAACAGAAAGGTATTATTAGAAGGAAGTATTTATGCAAAAGTTGTTCATGTCACAAGGCCCAGTGCTTATAAATAGGAATATTCGGAGCGGAGCTGCTTGTTGGCCAAGGCAAAAAGGGAACTATCTCCATAGTGAGTGTCAATACGCACTCGGCATAACCCTTCCTGGTTCACTGTGCTTCGGCTACAATTGCTAGCGTTGTGGGGTGGTCTGAAAACATTGCTGCGAAACAGCCAACCAACTAACCAACCAACTCACTGCCCTGGAGCTGATGCCGACTCAGAGCGACCCTCTAGCCCAGGTAGACCTGCCCCTGGGAGGTTCCCAGACTGCAACTCTTTATGGGGGCAGAACGCCCCTTCTTTCTCTGGAGGAGCGGCTGCCAAACAGCAGTTAGGGTTAACAATGAGTCTTTGAAAACATGCCACCACCACCCCTTGTAATTTGCAAACAGTACAAGCTCAAGGTGGCATTTTAGGAACTGCCAAGTAGAAAAAAAGGAGGAATGGTGGTCTCTAGAGACAATAGCTGTTAGTAATAGCCTATTTTACTGGTTGTTCTTTATTTTCCCCCTCTGAGGCTTGTGGGTTTGGGGTACTGTGTCCAGCTTGTTCCTGGCAGGGATAGGAGTTCAGGGAGGACGGATGGGGTGGGAAAGAAACAGGGGTGTTATTGGGGATGTGAGGCAGTCTATGGCCCCGCAAGCCCCCCACCTTCTACTGTCGCCCCCTGCAGCTCAACCAGAACCTCAACGACGTGCTGGTCAGCCTGGAGAAGCAGCATGGGAGCAGCACCTTCACCGTGAAGCCCCAGCCCAGGTGGGTGGGCAAGGGGACTCGCAGCCACTGGGGGTGAGGCTGGGCATGCCTTATCCCGCAATCGGCCAGCCTCTGGGGGTCTGGGGACCTTTCTGTCTGGCACTCTATGCTCCGGGGTCGCCGTCCTTCCACGTCCCTGGCTCTTGGCTGTGCTCTGTCCTGGGAGGATCCTTCCATGCCTTGGCTCTGCAGGCTACCCGGGCCTGTGGGCCTCGTGCTCTCATTGGTGCAGCAGGAGCAGCAAAGGTGGGATGGAGATTCGTGGTCAGCGTTGCAGGTGGGAGGCACTCACAGGCATCGAACCTTCCAGAAAGTAAGCTTTTTCACACAGGGAGGTGGTGCCACCTCTCCCCTCTTCTGGCTTATGGAAGCACCTACAGCTCACGTCAGCATTCCTCACGCCTGTGAAAATTCCTTTGTTCCTGTCTCCCAGCCCCCACCCAGCCACCTAGGAGAGCCCTGTTTCCTGAGGGTAAACCTGAGTAGGGTGGGGTGAGGTGAATACCTGTTTCCTCTCTGGCTGTGGGTCATGGGGAATAATAGCCATCGGGAGTTTCCTGACCTCTTAGGGGTGTGTGTGTGTGTGTGTGTGTGTGTGTGTGTGTGTCCTCACGTTCTTATATGTGTGTGACTATGAGCATGTTGTCCCGGTGTGTGGAGACCAATAATGAACTTGGCTTTCCATAGCTAAGTCTGCTTCTTGGATGTCTGGGGGAGATGGAGGGGAGAAGAGACAATTGCTTAGGACTAAGAAAGTATTCAACAAGTATTACCATCCCTCCCCCCCCCACTAGTGAAATATGTGGGGCTGAGAGGGGCCGGCAGCACAGTGCCAGGAGGGGGTTCCCAAGGTCAGTGCTGGTAGGGATGCTCCTCCCCTGAGATAACCCTGCCCAGCTTGGGTTAGGAGTGAGGGGAGGAGGATGGCGAGTGAGCTACAGCTGTTCTGGCCAGGTGGGCTGTCAGGGGGTCTGGTCCCGTCTGCGGGCAGCTTCTTAGACTCAGTCTCTCCTGGGAATGCATCTCGGGTCTGAGAGAAAGAGTGTAAGTTGAGTCTCCTAGCCTGGGCTCAGGGATCAAATGTTGGGCAGACACCCAGCTCACACCTGGCTGCCTCCTCGTCCAGGTCTCCAACCCTCCCTCCTTCCTGGTACACAGCCAGCAAACTCCTGCCGGCTGCAACCATAGGTCCGTTCCCCATTGGGCCCCGTTCTGACTTGGGATGTGCCCTCTCCTCCCTGTCCCAGGCAGCCCAGGGCAGCTGTGGCTGGACTGCGCCCACTGGCTTCCTCGCAGGTGGAGGGCAGGGGCAGGCTCCGTCAGGAGGGAGGCCGTGGCTCCCTCGCCTTACTCTGCACAGAAGGGTGGCTGGTGGGGGAAAGGGACACCCAGCTGTCACCCGAAGTTTCCCTACAATGAAGGCCTCCACACCCCATCCCTCCCACAGAAAGAAAACTAAACTCTTCTCCAGGCTCCGCAGGAAGAAGAACAGGTACCGGCGGCAAGCTCTGCCTTGCGTGGCTCAGCATCACTGTGCATGTGCCTGACGCCCTGCCCTGAGGGCACCACTAACTGCAACCCCCTGTGTGTGCAGCCGTGTGGGGCAGGGCCGTGCCGGAGGGCGGCCCACGGGGCTGCTGTGCCCGCTGTGTCTGGTGTGTGGTGTGTGCTGCGGGGATAGGCCTGGGTAGGTATTGCTGGGTGGGAGTGAGGCAGCGTAGGACAAAGTCTGAGAAAACGGAGCAGATACCTTATGTGTGGCCGGCGTGTCCCCGAGGAAGGAAGCCTGACAAGGGCTGGAGCAGAGAGACGTGATGTTAGTGTGCCTGTAAGATGATGTCTGTGTTCCTGTGTATTACACATATATATCATGAACACATCCGTAAGAGATCAAAAGAGACGCCATGATGTCCCTTACATATCTGCTCTCGTCTGGTCTTCTCCCATCCCAGCGGGTAACCTGATTACTGACTTCTTTCCTATTGCTTGTCTACTGAACGTCCCCCCGACCACGGTAGCTTGTAGCTGCATGTGGCTGGGGTGCGGCTGAAATGCAGTTAGTGTACCGGGCGAGTTTGATTTCGAGAGTGATTTCTGTGCAGACAGCTAGCTCACAGTCACCTGTGGTGAGCGGCTCCTGTGATGGGCACTGCCGTTCTAGAACTTCTTTGCACAAGTGAGCAGAGCTTGTCCTACTTGCTTTTGACACAAATGTCCCCGCCAGGCACGCATCTGGCCCTTGTTCTGGACACTCTGGGGCCGTTGGGGGACTTTTCCACTTGAGCCCTTCCATGGGCCACACCAGGTGCTGCTGGCTTTGTGGAGGTCCCATCTTTTCAGGAAGGCATGGGAGTGGGGAGGTGCAGGGAAGTGGAGAAACTGTGGGTGCTGTGGGCGGACAGGTTGGGGAGCAGTCACAGTGTGAGCACAGGAGGGGGTTGATGCTGACCCTGCATTGGGTTGTGCCGGGACATGGGCAGGGTACCCTGTGGGAGGTGTCTGTCTATCTGAGCTCATTGCTCTCTGGGATAGCTGGCTTCTGGCGCATTTCAGCGGGGTGCTGTGGGGCCCTGTGTGGAGGTGGGCCTTGGGTCATACTTCCCTGGGGTGGGATCCTCTGGCCTCTAGCTCTGTGTTTTGTCATGTCCTGTCACTGTGTGCAAGGCAGGACCTTGCTGAGGACTTGTGGAGTCTCACACCATGCCTCTTCATTTCCCTTTACTTGTGCACACAGCACACACACACAACTTCATGTGTGGCTACATAGGTATGCTGTCAACACACATGTGTATTTACAACTCCATGGACACACGAAGTGCACGGCTTACATACATGTGCACTCACCTTCACACGTAGACACATGGGGCAATGCCCAGGCACACGGGACACACACTCAACGCATGACTATACAGCTTTACACATGGATACACAATCACCTGTACATGCATCTTCATACCTAGGCACATGAAGTACACACTTATGCACATGTGTATACAATTTAAAATGTGGACACCGATTCAGTGCATGTACACACACACACAATTTCATACATGCACACATTGACATGTTTACACACACAGCTGATGTGCATCCGTAGGTGTATATACACGTGATGTACCTGTGCACACACATTTTACACACAACACCCATTACATGTGTATATAACCGAACTGCTGTGGAGTCGGTTCCAACGCATAGTTACCCTGTACGACAGGGTAGGTTTGCCTTTGAGGATAATCTTGAAGGAGCAGCTACCTCATCCCGGGGTGTGGCTGGTGGATTCTGACTGTTGAACTTCCAGTTAGCAACCCAATGTTCAACCCACTTAACCCCTATATGATCCCACCCGACCCCCCAAAACAAAACTAGGTGTATCAAGTTTCCAATGCTATACATCCATCTGTATACACATGGCTATTGTCTCCCTGTGCATACGTGTCCATGCGCACACACCTTCATGTGCATACCTACATATTTGCAGCTCCCCTCTGGGGCAGCCTCTCAGCATCACGCCACTCTGTTCTTGCCTTCATAGTGATAACGCCCCTGCCAAAGGGAATAAGAGCCCTTCACCTCCACCGGATGGCTCCCCTGCCGCCACCCCGGAGATCAGAGTCAACCACGAGCCAGAGCAGGCTGGTGTGGCTGCGCCTGGGGCCACCCTCTCCAAGTCCCCATCTCAGGTAGGTATGGGGTCTCAGCAGCCTGTCTGCGCCTCTTCCTTGTCCCCCCGCCTTGCTGTCACTCTCCCTGCCTCTCTGTCCTGGCCTGCGTCTAAGCAATTTGGAACCAGAGGTTGTACATAGCAGGGGCTAGAGCCAGGGCTGGGCTGAACCTTTGTCTCCCACTCCACCTCAGTGGCTCTAGTCCCCTCTAAGGGGCATCTGTGACTGTCTCCTCTCCCCTCCCCTCATACATACATCCCCCCACTGCCCCACCATGACACCCTGCCCTCCCCTCTCTCCCTGGTCGCTAGCCACTTAATTCTGTCTTCCTCTTCCTCTTCTTCCTAACAGAGAGAGAGGCGCTGGACCCTTAGTCCCCAGAGCACCCAGACTCTAGAGGCAGCTGCCTCTTCTGTTTCCTCATCTCTTTCTTTCAGTAGCTGAGGAAGGCCCCAGCCTGATGGCCATGCAGGGCTTCCTTTAAAGGAGGGCAGGAAGGACTCAGGCAGGGAGTGCGAGGTGGCTGGGCCATGGGCAGGTGCCCTGAGACTCTCGGCCAACCTCTCTAGAGAAGCCCTCCCGTATCAGTCCCTCCCCAAACGAGACTTACCCGAGGGTCTGCCGAGCTCTGGGAAGGCCCTGGGCATCTGCCACTCTCCCTGCTTGGAGCCCGGGTATGGGCTTTCAGAGCTGCTGTCTTGCTGCTCTGCTTGGTGGCTGGCTGTGGCCCAGAGCTGCCCCACGTACAACCCTTCTTCTGTGGACACTGGGTGAGCAGCCTGAGCGTTTTCACCCCTCGATTCTTCACAGCCACCCACCTAGCAGAGCTGACGCTATTGTCACCGGTGTTCTTGAGTGTGGCAACTCACACCTGCTGGGTGGTATGCGTTCTCCCTGCCCTGCTGCCCCAGATAACTGAGCCCAGGTTCCTCTAGGGGGGTGGGGGGACGCAAGAACCCACTGGTGCTGAGCTGGCCGCAGAAGAGCAGGCAGGCTCTCTAAGAAAAGGGGAGAAGGTGCAGGGAGAGGCCTGGGCCTGGGCTATGCCTCCAGCTCAGGATTTCTGTCCCAGCTTCTCGCTCTGGGATTGGGCACCAAGACACTGTGTGCCCTGTAGACTGGGCCAGCTCCTGCCCCCACCTCACCCCTCACCCTTCCTTTCCCTGCCTTCTCTTCTCTTTCCCCCGCTTTTCCACCTCTTTCCCCCACCTCCCTGCTCTTCTCTGCAGGGTTTCCCGGTCCCCTGCCGCGCGTCGCCTTCTTGGTGGCATCGTGGTCCTGGCGTCTGTGACTCCTCGGCCGCCTGGGTGGGGCCGAGGCCCAGTTGTGACTAATCGTGACTTTGTCTCTGTGTGCCCCTCACCTGCTGCCAACCCCAGCTCCGGAGAGGCCCGCCAGTCCCTCCTCCTCCCAAACACACCCCGTGCAAGGAGATGAAGCAGGAGCAGATCCTCAGTCTGTTTGACGACACGTTTGTCCCCGAGATCAGCGTGACCACCCCCTCCCAGGTCAGCCGCAGCCACTGCGGCGCAGCCCCTCCTCTTGCTTGCTCAGAATGCGCACGGCCTCGCCCCCCACCCCATTCTCTGCCTGTCTCAAGGGCCCGGATATGGTCGAGACGGGTCCGGACCCTGCCTTGCTCTCATCCATCCTTCCAGCCATCCATCTATTTCTGAGCATGTCCTGCGGTAGACACAGCGGGCCAAAGTGCCCATCCGACCCTCTCAGGAGCCGGGCAGGCTAAGGATGGCTCCACAGTGTGGCGGAGGGGATTGTGGTGGAGGATTGTGCGAACACAGGAACTGGGGTCAGCGAGGGAAGGCTCGCAGAAGTGGTAGAAAAAGCAGCAAGAGCGTGCTGTGGACAGCGAGCAGAGCCTGTGTGTAGGCCTGCAGGGGCGAGAGGCGGGAATGTGGGGTGTTGTCGTGGTGGGGGATGTGGCTGATTCGTGAGAGGCGGCAGCAGGACTCCAGGTGGGGGGACCTCTGTCGGACCAAGGGCCCTGGGCCGCAGCTCCAGAGCTCTGACAACAGCTTCAGTGGTGGCAGTCACAAAGTTGCCAATTGTGAATGCCCTTGGAAGGCATCTAATGCCTATTCCACAGAGAGACAAGCAGAGGGCCTATGAAGGGGGTCCTAACATTGGAGGTGAAGTCTCGCGGGCCAGCACTGAATGGCTGAAAAACTCTCGTTGCTGGAGAGAAGATGCAGCTTGGCCAGCCGACCACAGCGAGGTGACCTCGAGACTGGACCTGCAGCCCTCACTGCTCTTTGGCGGGCAGACCAGGGCCCTGTGCAAGCCTCTCCTGTCTGGAGTTTGGACAGAGGGCCTGAGTGTCAGGGACGCTAAGAGCCCATGAGAATCTGGGCCCTCAGCCCCCCACAGGCTGCTCTGCATGAGCCAGGAGGCCTGTGGGGAGGGCCAGGCTCGGGCTGTCCGTGTGGAGGGAAGAGGCACTGGGGACCCAGCACAGTGGGCTCCACTCAGAGAGACCCTTTAAAGACAGGACCACGAGGAGTGGGTGGGCGGGCAGGGTTTAGGAGGTCTAGGAGGCGCCTCTCGACGGTGGCAGAGGAAGAGTGGGAATGGGGTGGGGTCACCGCCGAGGCCACTTGCTGCTGCCTTCCCCCCTCAGCCAGCAGCCTCTGCCGATGTGAGTTGCTCGCAAACTCTTAACCTAGCTGGCTGAGTGTCCATTTAAACTGCCCTCTGGGAGGGGATCTTTTTCCCCATTAATGGGGAGCAACCTGGAACTACAGGTGCACCTCCCCATGTGGCAGCCCAAGTGTGCCGCAGAGATGGACAGGGACATGCGAATGGACACACCACCCCTGTCCCCCGCATGGTCACAAGTCCCCCTTGCTGCCCCCTGTCATCTCAGGGCCCTGGGTTTCTGCCTTGTCATGAGGTGCAATGCATGGGGTGGGCTCATCCTCATGGCAGTGCTGCTGGACCGGTGGGTCGCCCTGAGTTGCTTTCTGGTGGGCAGTCCTCTTCCGTTGACCGACGCCATGCCCCGTCACAGCCTGACTGGGAATGGCCGTCTAGGCTTGGGCACTTCTCCTGGAAAGCACAGTCAGAGACAGGCAGGATCATGGGTAGCCTAGCAAGAGAATCTGGCTGCCCCTGAAGCATGGTGCCCTGTGTGTTCATGCCCCCAGAGGTGGCTGGCCACGGGGGCAGAGCAGCGACCTGCTCAGACTCACTGGACAGGGACCGTAGGAAAAGCTAGTTCTAGGGGGCCAGGCTGGGCCAGGGGCTTGAGGACTGCACTCTCTTGGCTCAGGGAAATGTATCCCCTCCGCTTGGGCTCCTGGACCTCTGTGTCTCAGCCCAGCATAGGACCTTTATGTCTTACCTCCTGGAGCACAGCCCTTGGGGAACCTGCTCAGCCACCGCCCCTTCAGTGGGATGCCTTGGGTGGCAGGGGTCAATGCTGGGTGCCTGAAAAAGTCTGTCACTACAGAGGGTGAGGGGCAGGGCCTGAGGACAAGCCCGGCCTCTCCCCTGTTGGACCCGGCCAAGCTTCCTTCTGGAAGGCTAAGGTTAAGCAGCCCCCCTCCTTGGAAGGCCTTCTGGGCTGCTACCATCCTTCTGCCGGTCCCCAGTCCTGGACAGAGCCTGCCACCAGGGGTGTCTGGGAAAAACCCTTTCTCTGAGGAATGTTTGGGGTCTTCCCACAGTGAGTGTCTCCAGCATGGCTAGGGCTACCGCGGTACAACCTCCTGACCGTGGAATGGGAATATTGGAGAGGAGAGTGGGTGTGGGTAGCGCTCTCTTGTGCTTTGGGGACAGGTGCCAGGTCGTTTGGAAGCTCCTGGTATTTGGGATCAGTGGTCTGAAGACAAGCCCTTGGGCAACGTGGGCTGGCTCAGCACTTGCTTCTGAAGCTGGCTGGGAGTGTGCCTCGCCTGAGGGCGCCCTGTGTCCCCGAGAACCCCTATCCCAGGGTCCTTCCTGACCAGCCTGCTGCTCTGGGACTGCTTCCTGGAGGTGGGGGCCGGGAAGTATATTCAAGGCTGGTGTGGGGGCACCACCTTACATGGGGAGGGGGAATGGCATTGGATCCAGAGGGGTGACCCCCCCACCAGGAGCATGCTAGAGGGGGTGTCTAGAGTGCTCCAGGAGGCATCACGAGGAGGCTGGGAGCCTGTGCAAGCTGTGTGGCCATCTGCAATGCTGCGCGCGTGCGTGCGTGCGTGCGTGCGTGCGTGTGTGTGTGTGTGTTGTTCTTGTGTCTGCACACTCCGGGGCTGGGATCGGTGTCTGTGTGCTTGTCCCCTAGTGTGCCCAGCTTCTGTCACTAACTGCCTTCCTCCTCTGCCAATTGCTGCCAAGTTTGAGGCCCTGGGGCCCTTCTCGGAGCAGGCCAGCCTGCTGGACCTGGACTTTGACTCCCACCCGCCTGTGGCAAGCCCTGGGAGAGCACCCACACCCTCTAGTCAGGTTGGTCTGGGCCCTGTGCCCTCAGGCCCTCCTGGCCATCTGGGGCTTGAGTCTGCCTATCAGCCACGCAGGCCCGGCCGGCCGGGGCTTTCTAGTGGCACTCTGGGAACCAGAGTGAACACCTCCTCCTATTTGTGGCCACAGAGCGGGAAAGAAGTGGGGAACTAAAGCTCCTGGGGGGCTGGGGCAGGGGGCGTGCAGGACTCAGGAGGAGGGCTTACAAAACTGTTGCTCTTTCTGGTTGGACCTCTGAGCACGCCAATCTATGGCACTCGCCACTCAGGTCTTGCAGGCTCCTGGGAGGTGTGCAGAAAGTAGCCCTGGGGTGACTTCAGAGCCTGGTCTGACTGGCACCAACCCAGTGGTCCCTGGGGCAGTGGGGATGGGGCTGCTTCTGGGGACTGCTTGCCTGCCTCCACTCGTCTCTAACCTCTGTACTAACTGTCCTTTTTCCCCATGCTGCTCTGCTCAGCCAATCCCATGGGACCTCTGGGAGGTAAGCCTGTGTTTGCTTGCTGTGAGAAAGGGCCACCTGCCCCTCCTCCACTAGCCCACTCCCTGACATGCACAGAGCCTCTCGGGCTTATGCCCACACCCAGGGCAGCAATCTCCTGTAGCTGCCTTGCAGCCTTCCTGCATGGAGAACCCCATGCCAGGGTCCCCTGCCCTGGCTGAAGGAGAGAGGGCACCCACCGTGCAGCCTACAGTGTCAGGCCTGTGAGTCTGGTCATCCAGAGGCACGCGAGTGGATCGAGCCTTAGAAGAGAGAAGGATTCTGGGTAAAGGGCTTTGTGTCAGCTGGCATCAGGGACTGGTGTGAAGGGATGGCCTAGGAGAAGCAGGGAAGGCAGGGTGAGGTGAGATGCCCTTTGGGAGCAAGACTGACCTGGCAGATGGCAGAGCTGGTGCATGCAGGGCGGCGGCAGCACCATCCTCTGGCAACTCAGGAAATGGAGGTGCAAGAAAAGGTCACATATTGCCTAGGATGAAGCCTGGTGTGGTCTCCGGCCAGGCCCCTGGAGCGACACCTGGGTGGGCCATCCCCAAGCCTGTGGGGGCTTCTGGGCTCTGGAGGCTTTATGCCAAGTTGCTCTGAATCTTGGGGCTACAGGGAGTCCATCCTTCCAGAAGAAGTTCTCTCTCCCCCAGGCCCCTAGGTGGGGGGCCTACCGCCATGCCACTGGCTGCGGAGAACTGGGGCTTAAATGCAGGGGAACAAAGGAGCCCACCCTGGTCACCGCTCTGCTTGTGGGCATGGAGGGCTGAGACCGCTGGGCACCAGGTCAGAAGTTTGCCTGTCAGCAGGGGCACCTCCCTCTCGATCATGCTTCCTGGAGGTGTGTGGCAGTGGGTACATCTGGGCAGAGATTTCAGTGGAAGCTGGCTGCTCATAGCAACCATGCTCTGTTCTCCTGTGGTGGTGGGACAGAGGAGGCCAGCGGGGATGGGGGAGAGGCCGGGCAAGGGTTCTCCCAGGGGATCCTGCTGCCACTCCCATGGCCCTCCCCCAGCACTGGGTCATTCCAGATTTGACTGTCTTCTCTGTCTCATGACCCTGCCCTCCACTTTCCCTGGCCTTCCCCACCCCCTTCCCGCCTTCTCCTTATGGCCATCTGTAGCCCACAGAGAGCCCTGGGGGCGAGCTGCCTTCCGGGGAACCCAGCACAGGCAAGGATGCTTTTGCTGTGTCCTGGCCCAGCCAGACAGCCGAGCCAAGGTCTGCTCAAGTAAGTGCCTGCCCACCCCCTCTGCAATGTCCACGGTCCCCAGGATCACGTGCCATAGTGAAGAGCCCAGGGGATGGGCGCACGCACGATGGACAGAGCCGTTATAGACCCGAGGGCGAGGACAGAGCCTTGAACTGGAGGCTGCAGTGCAGCTTGCTTCTAAAGCCGGTGACCTTGAGTTCTGCATAAGCTGCCTGGCACTTCTCCAGGGGCTGGGCCCAAATCAGCCCTCCCTACCCTCATTCACCCTGAGGAGCATTGAGAGTGAGCACCTCCTGGGTGCTGTTGGCACCTTCCAGAATGTCCTCATTTCTGTTGTTCCCTGGCTTTATGAGCTGGACATAGCCCCCTTTGACAGACAAAGGCTCGGAAAGTTGATCGAGTAACTTGGCCTGAGGGTCCATACCTTATAAGCATGTGGATGTTGTCCCAGACCAGCCTGACACTTGGGCCTGACAGTGTCCAAGGTGGTCCATCCTTTACCACACCCTCCCTGGGCCTGGACTTATGGGCAGCGCTGTATTAGGGCTCTTGTGGGGCACATGCTGCCATTCTGGAGTGTGGCCCAGGGGTGGGCAGGGTGGAGTGAATGGGAGGAGGCTGGGCCTTGCAAAGTCTTGAGCTTCCAGGCCAGAGCCTGCTGAGAGGGGCATCTTGAGCCCTGCAGCGGTCCCTCCGGGGCTGCCAGCACCTTCACTCCAGCTGCTTACTGTCTGTGCCTGGGACCGATTTTCTGGATGAGGCATACCGCCACTGGCAACTAGGGCACTCAGAGCTGCCCTCTTGTGGCCTGACTTTGTGTCCTGGTAGCAGTGTCTGGGCAGGGTCTGACCTGCGTGGCCTTTATGTTGTAGCCAGGAGAGGCCGTGGAGGGGACTGGTGGGACGGAACCTGCGTCGTCGGAAGCCCAGGAGTCCAAGGAGACAGCGACAAGTGAAGCCGCCTCCGTAAGCCCCCAGGACTCGTCCTGTGTTGCCCCCGCCCGCCCGCCTGTCTGCTTGGGGTGCCCAGTTGGTGCCTGTGCTGCTCTGTCCCAGCCCTGCTCTGGCACCTGGAGGCAGGCTGCTCTGCCATTAGGCACAGTCCTCTGACCAACCCTCACCCCCTGTCCCCGGCATTGTCCTCCTGTCCCCAGAGCTCCCTGCCGGCTGTGGTGGTGGAGACCTTCTCAGCCACTGTGAATGGCGCCGTGGAGGGCAGCAGTGGGGTTGGGCGCTTGGACCTGCCTCCTGGATTCATGTTCAAGGCAAGTGGGCCCTGGGAGACGGGTGGCCCTGGGGGAGGTGGTGTGGCGGCTCTGGTACACCGCTCCTCACAACCCAGGTGGCACAGGAGCCCTGGGCCTGTGGCCTCGGGGCCCCTCCTCACCACCCCTCTCCACTCCACACCCAACTCCACCCCAGCTCTGGGGCATCGTGCAGGGCCAGGAATCGGGGTGGGGGGTGGGACCCAAGAACAGAACCTTTGAGGAACAGATGAGAGGATGAGATAGAGATCCCACCCCTCTCCGGCTACCGTCGTACCTCACACCTCTGCAGGTGCAGGCCCAGCATGATTACACAGCGACGGATACAGATGAGCTGCAGCTGAAGGCTGGCGACGTGGTCCTGGTGATCCCCTTCCAGAACCCGGATGAGCAGGTGAGGGCTGCTAGCAGGCCAGCAGGGGGCAGCCAAGGCCCGCAGACTTGACCCTTTCTGAGGGCTGGACTCCGCTTGACTGCTTTTTGATGGGAAAGATTCCGGCTCCCTGTGTGCTTACGTCCTGTCCTTTGGGTGCTCTCCCTCCCTGTCTCTGCACTGCTCTGGGCTTGGGACTGCCTGCCTGCCTTTTACGGCTTTCTCTGCTTTCCATTGTCCCACCGCCTCTTCACGTCAGGCCCTGCTCGGGTCTCTCTCTGTGGGTCCCATGCCTGAGTTTCTTTCTCGCCTGCCTCTGGCCACATTGCCCAAGGCCTGCTTTCCTCTGAACAGGGCTTTGTCCACATGCCATCTTGTGCCCCCCCTCACTCACCCCCCAGTGAGGACAGGCCACCCATGGGCCCCAGGGACTTCAAGTCATTTTCCTTTTGCCAAGGTTTCTCATCCTTAGTAAGTCCCTTCAAAGGACAGGCTCTCGCTGGGCCCAGGCTGGCTCTGGGCACACTCTGAGAGTATGCAGAATCTGCCAGGGTTGCCCCTTCCTGCCAGGTCTGGATGCGGGGGGTGCGGGCGACTCTTGTTCATGTCGCCACAGACCGTCGGTGTTAATGTCACCGTTGGTGAGCCGGTGGCAGTTGGTGAGGTGTGGCGGTCTGCACTTCTCTGAGTACCAGCTGAGCATGGCACAAGGGGCCTGCTTGGATGCTAGCTTCTTTCACAGAATCCATTCTGCCGCGAACCTCGTTGGTGTGAATTAGTTATCAGAGCGAGGGTAGGGGGAGGTGTTTGAGTTGTGGCCAATCACGGTAAAGGGTAAAAGGGTATTGGGCCTAGACTTGAGAGCCATGGGGGCGGGGCAGGGAGGTGGGAACCCTGAGTGCCACAGTTTCTTGAACATTTTGCAGAAACATCCAATTAGTGGGTGGGATTTCAAGAAGAGGAGGACTCCTGGACCCAGATCCACAGGAGGTCACTCAGAGCGGGGCAGGGAGGGCTCAGAACCGAACTAGTGGCTGTGACAAGGCAGAGAAGGATGGCGAGGTGAATGCCTAGGACACAGATAGGTCCCAGGCCCAGCTGGTCCAGCTCCTCTGAGGCCCAGCCTGGCTGGCCCAGTCCCGATGGGGCAGGGTGGGGAACATACCCACCCTAGGGCCGTAGAAGGTCTATGAAATCATCAGTAGCAGCCCACATCACACGTCTCACCAAAGAGAAGCCGTTTCAGCCATCACTAGGGGTGATTTCATGAAAGGTTTGACCAAATGTAGCCAGCGGATGTTTAAGTGGATATTTTTGAATGGCACACCAACGATGCTATAAATACCCAAATGGCCCTTGGCAGAAAGAAGAAACGTCCCTGCCCCGGTACAGGGCAAGGGTTTATGACTCCTGCAGACTCCTGTGGGAGTAAGGGGTTGGGCACCAGACACCCCTTAAAAATGAGTTTTGAAGCCAAGACCAAGTTCACTCTGTTGGAAGACTTGCTGTGGTAGCCTTGGGCCACTCTAGACACTTTAAACTCGTCAAATCTCACCAGAACTTTCTGCTGTGGTTGATAGGAAGCTTGGGAGGACAGCTGCTTAGTCTTCAGGGGCTTGTCCTCCGTGGCACTAAGCTCCTTGCTGTGTGGCAAAGGGATGGTTGAAGCAAAATCAGGCCCACGTGGCCCTTGGGCTACAAGGGCCCAATCAGCCAGCCACAAAGTAAGCTCGACCTGCCCCAGGCAGAGTGGCTTGGGCCAGGTGGGTCTGGGTCTGGGCTTGTCCTTCAGGCAGGTGTGGTGGGCTTGGAGGCGATAAGCAGGTGGGTAGGAGGGAGCTGTCTTCCTAGCAGATCCCCAGGAAAGTGCATGTCCAGTGGGGCTGAAAGGCCCTTGTGTCCCCGTCCTCCACGACCTTGAGGTGACCCCAGTGCTTGTCTCCCTCAGGATGAAGGCTGGCTGATGGGCATCAAGGAGAGCGATTGGAACCAGCACAAAGAGTTGGAGAAATGCCAGGGCGTCTTCCCTGAGAACTTTACCGAGCGGGTCCAGTGATCCAGCCCATGTACTCTGGCCAGCGAAGATCCACCTTTTCCCAAACAAAACAATGTGTGTTTCTTGTTTTGTTTTTTTTCCCTTTGTTTTTGTTTTTAAACTTTGAAAAGCAGAGAGGGACTTGCGCGGAGAGTACAAAACTGAAGAGTGCTCACTCAAAGGTTAGGCTGCTTCCTGAGACTGATGCAGCCGTCCCGTCCCGTGGAGCTCACCGGCGTCCCTGAAGCTGCTGTGCTGTGTAACTGAGCTCCCCGTGCTGCAGCCAGGACATGGCCTGCATGTGTGCCCAGCTGGCTGCTCGGCACGCAGGGCCAGGTTTGGGCATCACGCTGGGCTGACCTGTGGGCTGTCCTGCTTGCCTGAAGCTTTGGCCGCACCCCTGGGCGCAGGCCCTCCTGTCCTGGCAGCTGGTGTGCAGAGGCCCAGTCTGCCCCAGGGGCCGTTGGGGCCTGATACCAGCCCACCTGGCCTCGCCCTGCAAATGTCTGTGTGCTGTTTTAAATAAATCTTAGTGTTCAAAAGAAAATGAAGCAAACAGAAACAAACAACAACAACAAAGTGACAAAAACCATTCAGACAGTGCCTGCTTATCTTTATTCTCCCTCCTCTTTGGTCAGCTGTTGTACTGGGACATGTGGGGGTGGGGTGGGGGTGACACAGGCTGGGGGTGAGAACTTGTAGGGGTGACGGGTTGCCAGTGATAGTACCTTTTCTTACAAGCAATCGCAGAGCTCAGCGTTGACTGCAGATCAAAGGGGCATGGTTTCCAGAAAGAGAAGGAAGTGGAGCTGGTTGGGAAGAGCCTCCTTTGGCAGTAGGCCAGCTGCTTTGGAGAGCTGTCTTGGTCCAGACCTGACCTCAAACGTTACTGCCCTGGCTTCTTGCCGATGGCTGGATAGAATGCTGTGAGTTGGGAAATGTCGGGATGGGGAACGCTGGGGCGGAGATGAGAAACTGAAGAGCCAATTGTGCCTAGAATGCACTGGGAGATGCCCAAGCCGAGGATTCCAGGGGTCAGAGGCCAGGACTTCTTTTTCACAGACGTAAAAACGGAGACCCAAGGAGATTCAATGACCTGATGAGGGTGGAACAGGGACTTCAACGTGAGCCATTTGCCCCAAACACGCGGTGAATTCCTGTGTCTGGCAAGGCTTGTGGGCTGTCGGTCAGAGCACGCACAGGGCCCAGAGCTCCTTGTTCTTCTCTGCTACCCCGTCCACTACCAAAGCCACGACCGTGGCAGCTCTAGGCTTTCCTTCCACCGTGGACTCATGCTGGGCCAACCAGTGAGTGCAGCAGCTGGCCTGGACTGGAACCAGAGCAGTGGGGCTGGGAAGTCGGCCTGGTCTATGGGTGGGAGAAGTCTTTTTCTAGGTGAATCTATACTATAGTACCCTGTTTCCCCAAAATAAGACAGTGTCATCAATTTTTGCTCCCAAAGATGCGCTAGGTCTTATTTTCAGGGGATGTCTTATTTTTCCATGAAGAAGAATATGGTACACATTTGTTGTTTTATTAAAAGAGACCTTGCACTTCCTGTCTGCTCCAGCTGTGCTGTGGCCAGGCCAACAGTGAGCTGTGTGGCGGCACCTGCCGCTATGGTCCAGAGTCCAGAGTTACAGTAGCTTCCGGGGAGGCCTTATTTTCGGGGAGGTCTTATTTTGGGGGGATGCCTTATATTTCAGCGAAAGGCAACATTTTAAGTAGGTCTTATTTTCGGGGGATTTCTTACAAGCAAGCGAATGGGCATGTGTCAGAATCTCAGTTTATTTTGTAGAAGCCATAGGCTTTGCTCTAGGGGGAAGGACCCTAGTGGATCTAGTAATGTACTCACACCCTAAACCCACTGTCATTGGGTTGACCCCCGACTCATCATGACCCTATATAGCAGCGGTTCTCAACCTGTGGGTCGCCACCCCTTTGGGGGCTCAAATGACCCTTTCACAGGGGTCTCCTGATTCATAACAGTAGCAAAATATCAGTTTTAAAGTAGCAATGAAAATAATGTTATGGTCGGGGGTTACCACAACATGAGGAACTGTATGAAAGGGTCGCGGCATGAGGAAGGTTGAGAACTCCTGCTCTAGAGGGTTTCAGAGGCTGTGCATCTTTCTGGGAGCAGAGAGCCTTACCTTTCGCCCACGGAGCAGCTGGTGGGTTCACACCGCTAACCTGGTAAGAAGCAGTTCTCGCAGTTAGCAGTCCTGCCGAACAGCGCCACGGATAATGGGCTTTGCTAACTGCAATGTCTGTGAGCAATAGAAATTAGAACAGTGGGGCTTGGGGAGCCCATTTCTAGCTGTGCCTACTTTGAAAGATGTATCTGTTCATTCACTCCCTCATTCCTGCAGCATAGACATGAGCCCACGTAGCTAATTGTTGAGGGGCAAGATTGGCTGGCTCTGCTACTTCTCCA